GGGGACACTGATCCGAATCAGCACCAAAATCCAATCGACTGGTCCCTGTGCCATGGCCAATCCACCCATAAAATTAGATTACAATCCATCTAAAATTTATATTCTGACACACTACAAGGCCCAAGAGAAGAATGAACCCCCTGGACGAGGCGATCAACAAAGCCAACAAGGCTTCAGAGGGCAATGATGACCTGCCAGCGTTCCGAATTATCTTTTGCAGATTTTCCCCATACTGAAATAAAGTATTGAGACGTTTAACTCTACTCTCGAGAGACTGTTTTTATATGTATTACACTTTCAAATCTTATTTTTCATGGTTTTGTCGATTTCATATTGGCCTACTTATGGGTGGGCCTGTGTGTCTATCCAAAGAACTCGCACTTTTACTAATATAGTTCAGGAACCAATGATGTGCATTTGTTTCGAATAGGAAATACGAGAATGTCATCGAATAAAAAATCACCCCACTTTTGAAAGACATCTGTTTTAAAAATACGAAACAAGCAATAAGTAGATAAGGCAGACGAACTGAACAGTCATCATATTCGTGTAGACAGCCGTGAGAATACTGCAACGATACCCTCACATTTTTTTCCCCTAAATAGCAGTAACCCGGGCATTGCACTGGCAGAACTACATATAAATAGGTCTCCTTGCGTTCTGTGCTTTATTGAGGAACAGCAGGGAGATGAAGATGATTTCTCTTGCGTTGGTGCTGGGCTTGGTGATCGCTGCGGCTGGTGAGTTTGCTTGAACTACTGAACTGAGGCAGGATGCTTCAGTTGTCTTTGATGTTACACTCTTCTTAATGAACCAACTGCCGCCAGGATGCCATGTACCTATAGTGTATGCCATACCTACTGTAGGATAACTTTAATAATTGTCTGTACACATAAATGGCTCCATAAGTGCTCAGTCACCGAGGATTTAATTACTAGTACAGCCTATCTGACATGTTTACCCTTTTTTCTTATCAGAAGTATTTACTTTTATCATACATTGCTATTAGTAATGTAAATAACATACTAATTGTAATGTCTATAATTATAATAAGGTAGTTAAGTAACAGTAAAAAATACATTTTTCTTGAAAACTCCAGAAAAGGTGAAATCAGGCGAGGTCACTAGGTCTACTAATTGAGTAAAAACTAAGCACTTGTGTAGTCATCTACATTTCACGGAACAAAACTACAGTGTACATTACATTTGACCGGCAGCAAGGCTTTAAATGTAGATTAGTAATTAGATTTGTTGGCATGCCTTTAAAGGAACATACTAATTCATTTTTCAGGGGCGACAATTGAGGGGGGTACCCCCCCCCCACAAGACTCTGTTTGCCACTTCAAGGTCTGTCTCCCCCCCCCCCCCGGGCCACACTGTAGCACGTCTGACATCACATTTCATGATCAAACAAAAAAAATACTTTGGTAGCCGCCACCACGGGACTAGGGGTCCCGACCCTTAGAGTTAGTATGAAATTGATTGGTGATTTTGACCGAGTTTGGAGGTTTATTCAGTGTTTTATTGATTGGTCATTAGCATCTTAGTTCCTTAATTGTTTGTTCTCAGTCAGATTTATTTTTAAAGAAAAATATTGATGTTTCTCTTATCGATATTCTAATAGCAATATTATGTTGTAAGGAGAAAGACAGATCTATTATTTCTAAATATATACGTGTATTATTATTATTCAAAACATTACAGACAAATACACACATGCAAACGAATCACGGACGTACAAACGATAATACAAACAAATACAAACTATACACTGACAAAACATATGAACGAATAATATATACAAAAAAACGCATACGAACACGAATAAACACTAAAGTATCTTGCACGAAAGAACACTAACTTGCGGAATGTCTTAGTTCTTTAGTCACTTCTCAAGTTTCTGCACACACCGTTTCTGCTAGCGCTCGCTTATAATCAGAGTACACGGAATTGCGACACAGCACTGAGATACATGACCTGATAAGTTTCCAGTAGATTACAAAGCGGTGTCCCCATCGACCTCTGTCACCGGCAGCGGCAAGGCAGCGTCTCCTCTTCACCGGCCTGCTAGCTTTCCTGAGTTACATCGGTGTCCTGGCGGCGGGAACATAGGCCTTTTGTGAGCCTATGCCGCCTGAGGTAACAAGCGGTTTGCAAAATCCGACCGCTACTGGAGCGGTTCGGGGACGTCGTCCGAAGTGACGAAACCGAGGTCATGTATATATCCAAGGCCGTGCGTATCTGCGTCTGAACACATGTAGGGGTTGACCTGGGTAGAGGGAGGTCACGTGGGCCTACGAAAGGCGCGTTCACTACAACACCCTAAAAACTTGTAGAGCTAACTGAATGTGATTACAGACACGTGCAAAGCAGAATAGACTGGTACAGCAACTACCCCCTCCCCCAATTGCCGCCCCTGGTTACCATCGATCTTTATATATCTTAATACTGTATATTTATATGCAGTAATACTAGCTTTACCTCTTAACCGGTAAGTTCAAGAGCAGATGCTTGCTTCTAAATAAGTATGTATTGTGATCACATCAATATCACCAGTACCACTGTGGTACTCACTCTTTTTCCATAAAATTGTACTGCTACTAATGGTAGTAGACCTACAACATATGAATTATCTATATATATTATCTGCGAATGCCAGAAAAAATGTTATATATAGAAATCTAAAATACCATAACATTTAGTCAATATAGACTTATCATTAATCCAATAGGATTTTGTTTACAGTTTATTGAGTGTTATCCCTACCTAATTGTGCTCATTTCGCTCATTCCCCCCCCTTGCCCCCCCCCCAAGCGTAAGCCCCTGGTCTTTTTCGATATTAAAAAAAAAACATTTTCTTCCTTTCTTTTCTTCTGTGTGCAGACATGTTAATGATATCCTTTAAAGAGGAAAGAAAGAAAGCCCTCTCGCTATTCCATTGTAGGCCAGGCATGCGACCCGCCGTTCACCACGGTGGGGTCCAAGTGCCTCTACCTGGAGTCGGAGGTTCGCCTGTCGTGGCCGGAGGCGAGGGACTTTTGCAAAGGGCTCGCGGGCGACAGCGGAGGGGTTGACATAGCTTCCTTTCCGTCCTGCGATAACTTTGTGGATTTCTCCAGATACCTTCTATTCAACGGTGCGTAGAAAAAAATACAAGTTGGTTAATGTTAATAGGGATATACTCACCTGTGTATTCACAGAGAGTTATATATGTTTGCAACAGCAGAAAATGTGCTTACATACACATTCATGAACCAATTTTTGATGTGCGTAAGCAAATCACTGATTCCCGTGAAACTCACCATGTTCAATGATTATTTTTAATCCCAGCTCCCAATATGAGCGGGCTGTGGGTGGGCGCGCACACGGCCTTCACGCCCAACATGTGGCAGTGGGTAAGCGGTGATGACCTGCAGACGGGCGTACCTTTTTGGTACTATAATGAGGATTACGATGGAACACGGCAGTGCGCTGGCATCTACTTGGACTATTACAGCCGGCTGGCAGACGCTCACTGCGAGGAGCAATTGTATGTACAATTATTTTTTCTTGTACCTTGAAGTCAATTGCAGACACACTAACATACACCACACAAGACCACTCTTCGGCAATTTCATCATTGCCTGATAATTCCCAGAAGATAAAAGATATAATTTAAGGGCAAGTGGTTCTCAGTGCATCTAGTAGACTGGCTGGTGTTATTAAAGATTTTCCAAGAAATTACAAAGAAAACCCGTTTTTCTAGCATATGCTAATAACGGTCATGACCACCAAAAATATGTGAAATAAATAGAACGGGATCCCGATGTGTTAAACTAACGTGCTGACTCAAAAACATCAAAGCAGAAACTTTCTATGACCAGATCCTTTGTCTGCGAGATGCACCCTGCGAGGAGAGACGAAGCAGTACAGCCTGCAGTGAGGCGTGCACGAGACATAGAATGCGAAAACCACGGCATTCTGGTAACAAGGTTTCGTCTTATGTCGTGAAATACGCTGTATTTGCAAGGATGGAACAACTATGTTTTTCTTCTAAATATGCCTGGCTGAAATGGGGATGTGTCTTCTATGCTATCCAATACGTTATATCTTTAATATGATTATTCTCCTTCGTGATATATATGTATGACATACCTATCTGCTTTCCCGGTTCATGGTCAGTGGAATTCCGCAGAATCCTTCCTAATTCTCTTCCTTGTCCCCCTGAAAGGTGGGAGATTTCTGTTACGTGTTCCATGACCGACTGGAGACCTGGGAGAACGCGGAGACGAAGTGTCGAAATGAGCACGAGGATTTTGGAGGAGAACTGTACTACCCCACCAGCTGCCACGAGTTCACACACATGGCGCACCATCTGGAGGCCGCAGGTTATTTCATTTTTTGGTCCTAAATATCCTCTGCACATAGTCCCTGGCTGTAGACTTCCTTTAGCCTAAAGATGCTGAAAACAGTGGAGTAATGACTGCGGAGAGTAAATGCCTCACACATAGTAACTGATTAGATGGATACACAAACCTATTTCCGCACACAGAGAAGGTAAACTCATACTGGGTGGGCGGCGTGGACATTTCGGGCAACGAGGAGTGGACGTGGGTGAACGGCGAGAACATCCCGGGCGGGCCTCCGTACTGGGCCACGGGAGAGCCCAGCCACAGCCACGACAACGAGCCCCGCGAACACTGCACCGCCATGACCGCCGAAAAGCGATACTACTTGCAGGACGTCCACTG